TACAAATTTCAAAAAATCTAAATAGATTATAACAAAATCTAAACAAATTTAATAAAATGCAGAAATTAAATTTTATTTCATTATTATTATAAATATGCCACAAAAATTTTCTTTTTAACAAAATGATTCCTATCAAATTGATTGAAGAAAATATAACTATTATATGATTTTAATTTATTTATATTATTTTTAATTTTTCGTATCTGGTCTAAAGATAAACTTTGACAAAACAGTTTTTTAGTAAAACTCATGCAAAATCGTCAAAATCGTTTTGTAGAGAAATAAATATTCGATAAATACAGATAAATTATCATTTTTCTTTAGTCATCAGAAAAATTCTAAAGCTTTTAAATTCATTCTTTTTGCAATTTGTGGAACATTTATTTGTATGCCAATAAATTTTCTTTTTTTTTTTTCAATTTTATTAAGTAATTACAAATGTCTATAAATATGACATCTAGTAATTTTTTTGATTAATATAAATAGAAAGGGCATATCAGGCCGCCCAGTGGTGGTCCTAATATTATTGTTTTTAAACTAAAATAGATTTAATCCAGGCCAATAAATTTCAAACTTATTTTTATTATATATATATATATAATGATTTTTCACAACTGTTAACCCATAATAATAACAATTTCCCCTAAAAAAGCCCCCAACTTTCTTCCAACATCATCAAACATGAATATAATAATAACACATTTAATAAGGGATTCAAGAGGGGACTTTATGAATAAAGTTTTTAGAAGAGATTATTATAAGACCGATATATATATATATATATATATATATATATATTATATATAAATTTCTAAAGGTTGTACCATTGCAGTTTATAATTGATTATTATACAATCTCATCACGAAAAATTTGTGTCCAATATAAAAATATGGATTTATCAGATATAAATTTACAAATATAAATTATTAATCAAATTTAATAAAATAATAATTATTATGTAAATTAATAAAAATCGTATGAGTAATATGATATAAATATACATTTTTATTTTTTGTATCATGTTTTAATATTAAATATATTAATTTAAAAATCAATATAAGAAAAATTTTATTACAGAATTAGTTTTCCCTTTAATAATATAATATAAAAATTATATTTCTTGTAATATTAATAATTCATTTTGATAGGAAGAGAATTTTTTTGTGGATTATTTATAATAATAATTAAATGGGATTTAATTTCCATATTTTATTAATTTATTTAGATTTTAGTCTAATCTAATGTGCTTCATGGTAAAATATTGAAACTTGTATTTTTATGAACAAATTTTAAATGCACATTACATCGTAATTTCTAACCAACAAAATTTAATTAAAAAATTACAAGTAAATAATTTTTTATTTTACATCACGTGATTTATAAAGATATTAATAAATACTCATATTTTTATTTATAAAATTAGTTTATATATCACTAATAAAATTGTGGTAACACTATGTTCCTTGATTATTTTTATTTTTCACAAAATTGTTACTAAGTATATTATTAATTGTTACTAATAATATAAATATATCTTATTTAATAGCACGATTAATAAAATACGTATTATTTATATCTATTTTGACTTAGAGTTTTCATTTGTAATTTTTACTTAATTTTTTGTTTCAAATATAAATGCTTTACTGTTTATTTGTCCAATTAACTAAAATATTCACATATTTGAGTCAAAAATTATTGCATTTTTTATTAAATAATGAAATTTCAATGGTATTTTTAAATTAACCGAAATATATATTTTAAGTATAAGAAATAAATATCATTTAATTCCTGTTCATATATATATATCAATAAACCTGTTTTTATTGGCAGTTTAATTTGTTAATTTCAATTATTTAATTAATTTAATTATTACATATGTAATAATTAAATATCATTTATTTATTATACATATGTAATAATTAAATATCATTTATTTCCTGTTCATATATATCAATATTCCTTTTTTTATTGGCAGTCTTATTTTTGAGTATTTGTTAACTTCGATTATTTTTGCATGAATCGTGGTACATATGTAATAATTAAATATCATTTATTTATTATACATATGTAATAATTAAATATCATTTATTTCCTGTTCATATATATCAATATTCCTTTTTTTATTGGCAGTCTTATTTTTGAGTATTTGTTAACTTCGATTATTTTTGCATGAATCGTGGTACATATGTAATAATTAAATATCATTTATTTATTATACATATGTAATAATGAAATATCATTTATTTCCTGTTCATATATATCAATATTCCTCTTTTTATTGGCAGTCTTATTTTTGAGTATTTGTTTGTATGTAATATTTGATATTTTTCAACTATACAACTATATAACTTCAAGTTACTAAGCAAAAAAAGTATAAATAGATCGCAAACACTTTTGATTTGCAATTACTAACAAATCTACCCCTAGGTTCAATAATAATTGACATTTTTTTATCATTATTTATATAGATAAAAAACGACAAGTTCTAGTAACTTATTATTTATTGCGCTCCCCAACAGCATAAAAAATGATACACTTGTAAAAATTTTAAGAATAAAATATTAATATAGGTTTTAAATTCAATAATATTATTACTAAAAGTGTCTATTTCAAGTTCGGCCCTGTTTTCTTCGTCCATCCCTAATAATACCCTCCGCGCTCATATTATATCACGAACGAACTACCCCCATTATGAACAACGACTTCGACACAGTCGACATATAATATAAGGGTAGTAGTGTTAGTGTTTATTCGAAAAAAAACGAGTGAGGGTGAAAAGGGCCTAAATGATTTTTCATTGACCCACATTTGTTACGCTGAGGAATTATAAAAATGCTTATATGGATGAGCAAAGTTTTGACTTTCGGGGATGATTTTAGTAACTGAAAAAAGACAGTCGAGGTAAAATGAAAGTTATAATTTGGATGGTAATGGAATAAACAAGTTTCTGTGATCGATAAAAAATTTTCACCCCTTGTGTAAAGGTTTACAATTTCTCCTGAGTTTGCATAAATCTAGTCTTCGATCATTTTATATTTTTTTCATCTGCTTTATCTGTCGTGAAATGCGATAACAAACAGATATTGCAAATTGCGAAAAAATACACATCTCGTATAAAAACGATATCTGGAGGGTTGGAGGATGAATGGTCCATGTGGAGGGTGCGAATATGATTTACGCTGATGTCTTCATTTATATTCACACCCGGACGACGAATCGAATCATGAATTTCGGAGACAAAAAAATAACAGGGAAATCGGATGAAATAATCAGAAATGGATATATATATATATATATATATATATATAGGGTGTCCCAGAACTCAACGTCAATGATAGTATTGACTGTAACTGTCCTGAAAAAAACTAGAGAAAAAATTAGCACACGTCATGAGCTTCTAAGTGCAACCTAGAGCTTTGGTGAAATTGTCACCATTTTTCGGTGACTTGTTTTGCAGAATGAAATTTTCATAATTTTTGTTCTTTGGAACCCTAATCATAAATAATATTTCTAAGATCACAGTCTAAAATAATGACACAATTGTCCCAAGTTTTCAAAAACTAAGACTTTGTCGAACTATGAATTTAAAATTTTCAAAATCGGTCGACTTTGAGTGGGCTTCATCTAAAAAAAATGTACTAAAGTGTGTTGGCAATTTTTATATAAATTTGGCGCATTTAATCAGGATTGTAAAATGCTGAAATACTTGATGGTTTTATAATAAAAAATTTTGAGTAAAATAATAAAAACCAAAAAAGAAACACGATTTTTGCTAATACATTTTACTCACAACTTAAGAGTTGGTTGGTGAAAAAAAACTCTCAAATTCTTAGATAATCAATTTTGAATAATATTATTCAAAAATTCAATATAATATATTTTGTCATGGAATATTTTTTTATGCCTATAATATTTCAGAATGCTTTTGTTTTGACTTTCGGATTTTTTCCATAAAATACCTATTTTTTTAGCAGATAATTACATAGAGATACAAAGGAAAAATATTTTTTGAACATGTCACCAAATGTGTATTCGGTTTATATTTTTTGCAAAATTCATTTTTTTATTAAATATATATATATATATATATATATATTATATATATATATATATATTCCAAAATTCAAATAAAAAAATTTTCATATTTCCATAAAATACTAATTTTTAACAGTTAGGGAAATGAAAAACGAATTATATTTTCTGAACACCAAATATATAAATTAGTATAAATTTTTTAGTTTTTTTATTAAAAATTTATATATATTCTAATTTCAAAATGACCCTTACAATGACCATAGGATTATAATAATTTAGAGTGTTATTACAATTGCAAGTATGTAATTATTCAAATTTTTTTAGTGAATCAATTACTTTCCAAAATGTTACAATTTTACACAGGCCTATAATAATTTAGTCATTACAATCGCATGTATGTAATTATTTAATTTTTTTTTAGAAAATTCATTACTTTCCAAAACGTTTTTCCATTTACTTTCCAAATGTTTTTAGAAAATCCATTGCTTTCCAAAATTTATTACTTTCCAATGAACAACTTTCCATAGGCCTATAATAATTTATGATCTTAGCACTATTGCATAAATACAATATAGCAATTGCTTTTTATATTAAAACATTTTTTTTAGACTAAAAATAATTTAGGGGGAGTAATAGATATATTTTTTTAATATTGATTTTTATAATGAACCCATTCCCATAGGCCTAAAATATTTGAGACTATTTTTTATTTACCTCAGCATTTTCCTAAAAACGTTTTTCAAATTTTAATAAAATTGTAATCTTTTTTTATAAAATTATATATTTATATAATTTTTTTAATATAATAATTATTTCGAATGTTTCTACTTTATATCAATTTCTTTTTTAAAGTACAAAAACATTTATTTTAATTTTTTTTACATTTTTTTGATGAAATATGTTGTTTTGATGTAAATTTTTTTAGAATTTTGTCGTTTGTTTTATAGTTTATTTTTTGTTCCTAGGTCGGGTATGCCCAGAGCCGACATTTAGTGGCGAGAGCCCTTAGCAAAATTAATAATGGCTCAGAGGCGGACTCCGACGAAGTTATGAAAGGGGTAAGTTGTAAAAAACGTCTTAACATTTTTGTTATTTAATTTTTTTAATTAGAAATAATATCAAACACGAAGTAATAATATACAATAAGCATTAAAGTTTATTGATATTAAATTATTTGAACATGAAATCATGAACCTAAATTATTCAACTGCATTTATTTATTCAATGGTACATAACTTAAATTAATAGATAAAAATACATACTATATTAAATGAAATATAATTTAAAAAAATAAATGTTCACTCAAAATCTAAGTTTCACAGTATAATTTACTGAAAGTTATAACTCAAATACTCATCAATGGAGTAAAAAATTTGCTCTTTAAAAAATGTGTTGAGTAATTTATAAAATTTCCTATTTCCAACTTCATTCATTCATTAAGAAATATATAAAAAAAACTGCATCTTATTATTGTTTAATCAAAATTCTCTTTACGATTTGTTCAGAGCTATTTTCTTGACTTTATATCAGTTTATAACTAGAACCCTGATTTATAACTAGAACTATAGCTAGAATAGCTCCACCGACGGATATTGTATTGTATACAACATTCGGCTTTGTTTATTTTGTTTTCACTTCTGTAAGCTATAAGCTATTTGTGGCCGTTTTGTATATATAACGAATTAAATCAAGTCGAAATTTCCTCAAAACTATTTTATAATGATTGATTGTTATGTAATTTTGAGTTTGGCGAGGATTGATTTATTAAATAACACTCATTAAGAACACATAAATTAAATAAGTTATTTGCACCATTTTTTAACTAAGAAAATGAAAATTTTCTGCATTTCTCGACGTTTTGAAGGTTTCTGAACATTTTACTGGGATACCTCAGAAAACTAATGGATGTGTGTGTGTGTGTTTTGTATGTCCGCATTTTTTCGTCCACGTTTTCGGGCGCACGGATCAATCGATTTGAATGGTTAAAAAACATTCGATTTCTAGTGCTAAAGAGTCGTGCTGTTTAGTTTTTGGCAAAGGCAGGTCCAGCCGTTACAGAGATATGGAGCAAAGAGTGTAGAAAATAGAAATCGAGTTTTTGAGAGAACAGATCATCCGATTTGTATGATCCAAAAAACATTCAATTTGTAATGATTGGGAAAAGTGGCTATTAGTTTTTGGCAAAGGCAGGTTCAGTCGTTTTGGAGATACCGAGCTAATTGTGCAAAAATGGCACAGAAAGAATGATCTAAAAAACGTTCTGATTGTATTGAGAAAACAATTGTTTTTGAGGATAAAAAAATATTACATTTATTTTTATTTTCCATAACATATTTTTTGTAATTTTGGATTACAAATTCAAAAAATTACCCAGGCTAAGCACAGTCTAAGCGCCACTCTGGTACAAATGTTTACCCAAGTGCGTTTAGACTGTGACTATAACGAGCACTTTTTCAATTTTGTGCGAATTTCGAATTCGAAATGAAATGACGTTTGTTAATGTTCTGGAGATAAATTGTTTTATGATTTACATTCGATTTGCTCAGATATAACAAGATAGCAAAAATAATGAAAGTTACAGTATTTGTAAATATATATTAGAAAACGTTTAAAATTTCTCGAATATTTCATTACAGTACGGGAAGTTTCAGCAATTTGTCTTAAGGCACGATGCCATACACCACTAGTTACTCAAAGGACCAAACTCTTCACCCATCCTAAAACTGCAACTTTTACCAAATCCAGTTTTACATATTAAGAAACTAGATATGAACTCCTTCTAAAAATTCAAGTTTCACCTAAACTTAAAACGTACAGTTTTTAATTTCAGAGTGACTTGTATCCTGTTTTTTCTTGTCGTTACCTTTTCCCATAAAATTGTCATTAACATAACTTTTTTTCTTTTTTTATAATTACACCCAGTTTTATCATTGAACAATAGTTCTAAATCCAGTTTTGGTTTCCCAAACAGTTCCAAAAATCATCACTCTTATAACTTCTGTTCTTTTACCCAAAATTCCATCTTTTTCACAAACAATTATCCCAATTCTGCTTGTTCTCTTCAAATCTTTTACCAGAGGGTGCAAATACTGAAAATGTTTCGCCCTTATTCATGAAGCTATAACAATCATCACCCTTCCGAGATTAGAATCTCGTTCTAAGGGCCAGCCAAAGTACTAGTAGTAGTAGTAGATTGTTATGCCGAAATTACTGGTCTTATAACTGGATGATAGATACAGGGGTGGATTGGGGTAAATAATTTGGGCAAGGTTTTTATTAGAAATGTGGATGAAGTGGTTGATGGTAATAGACTTCTAAAATTTGCAGTACTGATACATTTTTAACTTCTCGTAGGGTAAGTTATAGTAATCGCAAAAAATCGAAAATAAAAATTTTTGCATTTCTCAACGTTTCAAAGGTTTCTGAACATTTTGGCATACCTTAGAAAAAAATGGATGTATGTGTGTGTGCGCGTGTATGTGTGTGTGTAGGAACACGGATCAACCGATTTGAATAATTCAAAAAACATTCGATTCGTATTGATTAGGAGACGTGCTAATTAGTTTTTGGCAAAGGCAGGTCTAGCCGTTTCGGAGATACGGGGCAAAAACGTGCCAAAAACTGTAACTCAGTTTTTAAGAGAACGGAGCGTCCGATTTTAATAATTCAAAAAACATTTTACTTGTATTGACAAGATGAAGTATTGATCAAATTTTCATGAGGGCAGGTTTAGTGGTTTCGGAGATCTAGTAAAAAAAGTAAAAAAAATGCCATTTGGCGGTCAAAAATGTTTATTGGACATAAGCACATCAAATTATCAGATATTTTATAGGTATTTTAATAATGTGTACACATTTTGTGTACAATTTTTTTGGGTTCCGTACCAAGATTTTTTTAATTTTAAAATTTACGTATATGGTTTAAAGAAATGCCTTTGACATTTTCGACAATATGATGATGATATGAATAAACGATTTGTATGATTAAAAAAACATTCGGTTCGTACCGATCGCGAGGCGTTTTTGCAAAAGGCAATTTTGCCGTTTCGGAGGAATGGAGCGCAAAGGGTGTAAAAATGGTCATGCGGTTTTTGAGAGAACGGATCATCCGATTAGATTAGTGATTAGTGTGCAAAAAATGCTTTGACAAAAAATTTCGTAATTTTGAAAAAAAATTAAAAATTTAAAAATATTCTTTTAAAATTAAAATTCTTTTAAAATTCAATTTTTCGAAATTTTTCATTATTTTCAAAAAATCTAAATTTTGAAAAATTTTAAAAGATATTAAAATTTAAAAATATCGATTTTTTTACAAAAATTTGAGAATATTTTGAAATTTTCAAAAAAAAATCGAATATTTAAAAAATAATTTAAATTCTCAAGAAATTTAAAAAAAACTATTTTTTCCGAAAATTACAAAAATTTTTGAAGGTTATAATTATCAAAAAAATATCAATATTAAAAATAAATCGATTTCATACAAAAATTTGAGAATGTTTCGAAATTTCCAAATAAAATCGAATATTTTAAAAAATGTCTAAATCCTCAAGAAATTAAAAAATAAAACGAATTTTTCTGAAAATTCTAAAAAAATTTGAACTTTTAATGCCATACACCACTAGTTTCTATTTTTACTTGTCTTCTTCAACCATCCCTGTTCGAATTCACCATGTTCATCAGAGTAAAACATTTAACGCAATTTGTGTCACCCTTAATATTGCACCCTTGCAGAATCCAAAAATGTACCCTCTTTGAATAGAAATCTGTCTTTTGTAACACATTCTGTGAGATTGTATGGCCAATTAAAATGGATCGATAGAAAATAAAATAGTTTGAGGAAAATATATAAGAAATATATTTTATAATGAATATTTTCTAATTTTTCGTTGCGTCAGAAATCCATCTTTCCATTTTTGCTGCTGAATATAAACAACAGCAAACAAAATCGATTTGACGATAATCATTCGACACGCAAAGTAATTAATAAACCTGTTGTGTAGTAGATACGAACATTATAGGGGACAGGGGCGAAATGGAATTATAGTAATTTGTGTATCTATATTTATGAAAATATATGTATGTATGTTTCTTAAGCATTCATAAACTATACATCCAAACATCATGAAAATTTGGCAAACTGTTAAGTACAGGACAGGACAGGTTTTTGCATATTTTGATTTTAACCAGGTAGGAGTTGGTTTCTTACCCTCTTACCACAAACCACCATTTCATATGAAACTTGATTTTGAAAATTTAAAAATGCAATCTTGATATAATTTTCTGATTAGTCTATTAATTTTCTATAGCTTTTTTGTATTTTTTTTCATCAAAATACGTCCCCTTATCGATAATTCAACAGAATTTTCGATGATGTCGGCGAAACGCTTTGTCGGACTCGCCATATGTTCACAATAAATGGATATCATTCATTTTTTTCCTCTTCATTATAAATTATTATTAGGGAGAGGTATTGAATATGAACCGCCACTCAAATTAATGGTTTATTCGTATTAGACGAGAGTCGGACTCGTAATGTAAAAATATTAACATCAATGGCATCAATTGAGTTTAGCTTCAAAATATTAAATCTCAAATATTTCCCTTACTTTACATTTTCCTTGTTTTTCGAGAATTTCAAAAACGCAAACAACTCTCCATAATGTATAATTAATTGCGTCTTTAACAGAAATAATAATATTCAGATTACAATGTTGGAATTTTCCAACCCTCTCGTTTGAAAATCGTTGTTTTCTTCACACAACCCTCTTAGGTACATTTCATACAAACCGGGAAAGGGATTATAGACAGAGAGTTGGTGGAAAAGAGAAAGAGAAAGGTTAGAGAAAGTACACCGAGTGCACATTAAAATTAAATTTAATATTACTTGATTTAATATTATTCGCAGAGCGTATTTGTATCATTTCTTTTGTTGATACTATTTTCGTTCATTTCAATAAAGTATGATTCTGTAAAGCGTCTCTTAGACGTGTAAAATCGATTGCAACGATTGCGATGCAATTTATGTGGGTTAAAAAAACCTCCAAAGTCTAAAAAGTAGA